ATAAAGGCCTGATCTAAAGGCTACAAAGGCCTGATAATAAAGGCAAGGCTATTTCTCCCCCCCCCCGCCGCCCCTCATCCCCTTCATCCATCTATGTGGGATTTGAGTGTGGAGGGGCTGTCAAATATAGCTTAAATTCTTTAATTAGTCTTCATGGACACAAGCTTCCCATTTACCCCAGCAAGAGGTGTTTAACATAAAAGCCAGTGTTAGCTTGTTCCATCAAAGCCTCAGGACAGCTTTCCTTTCATTAGTCAGAAACCTAAAGTTCAGTCTGAATACCACTTTTCTGAAGAATCAATGAAAATAATATCTTACAGCTCTCACAAAACTGCTATTACCAGAGGGCTTAGTCCTGAGACCCAGTCCTATACTCCACTTCGAGTATTTTCAATTACTTGGCACCATTGGAGGTGACGTCCATGGCTCAGCAAGAAGGCTACCTCTGGCATAATGGTTTCTCCATGCTTCAACACATGGTCTTGGCATTAATAATCCATCGTGAGATGATTTGCAGTGCACAAGGGTGACATTTGATTATGTGAAAGGCGTTTAGGAATGAACACCTAGGCTCTTATAGACCAACTGCTGGCAGAAACACGAGATGTTATATGGTGAAAATAGCATTTAGGATGCTTTCTGAACTGATAGAAAAAATGTATAAGATATTAATTACCTCTAGAGAAATTTTCTTTCTTTTTTCTTTCCTGGTTTCGCTTTCTCTAATTGTATTTTGTAGGAACAAATGGGTTAAGTGGTTAGATTTGGCAACCAACCACCAAAACACATTTTCAAAACATATTTGATTCAGGAAATTCTGATTCTTTCAAAGCAAGGATGTTAACAATTCTCCTGAGAACCTTAAAATACGATGATTTAAACACAAGGAAAAGGAGACCCTGGAACGATCAAGAGAAGTCACCCTGAGGCCTCCCTACTAAGGAGTTTTTGTTTTCATTTTGTTTTTTTGTTTTATTTTTTAGGGCCACAAGGAGGATGGGTATGCTACCTAAGGGAAGTCCTATTATTTGGGGTCAAAATTTATGTGACGATAGGGAATTTCATAATTCTCAGGGTAACGCCAATAAAAACAAGAGCACTAGAATTCTTAGACTTATGTCCTCTAGATCTATTTATTGATCTGCCAAATGCATTATATTTAGATAGATTAAAATGAGTGCATTTATTAACTATTAACAAATGTAATGCATGCCTGGGTGTAAGTACAGTCATCGCTGGTTATTCATGGTCATGAGAGTTGAGTGGGAGGAAAGTTATGCACAAATGAAATCCAGAGACAATGGGAAGGTCCTAAATCAATTCTTCCACATTCACCCACTTTCAATACTTTAGCCATAACTATGAACAAGATAATAGCAGTTCATCTCCATGTTACTGAGCCTTTCTAGCCCCTATCTTGAAGAATTAAGTAGAAAATCCTTGCAAACTATTGATTATGTACAAGAATAACAGATGTTAATTTATTCTTGGGATTTGTTATTCATTCATTTGAGTATTGATTCAACAAAATTTATAAGGCTGTTACTATGTGAAAAAAAAAGAGCAATGCTTGAAGTCATGAAGGTCCTAAGGATATGGCCCATCCCTGAGGAATTTATATTTTATTACAGAGACAGACCATGCACATAAGTTTCCTTTGCATAAGGTAGAAAACATTAAGTATACACAAGAGAACACAAAATTGGGAGCGTGGGGGGGTGGATCTGGGAGAAGTTAGGGGGAGGAGTAGAGGGTGAATATGTTCAAAATATACTGTACGAAATTCTAAATTAATAAAAATACATTTTAAAAAGAATTTTTAAAAAACCATCAGGCACCAGTAGAAAAACAATTAATTGCTTTGGGAAATCTGAAGAGGTAGATTATTTCCAGCAGGAAGATTCATATACTATTCATGAAGAACATTGTGTGGAGTACTGGAAGATAGTTAGGGTTTGTACAAGGAGAGGGGATGGTAAGGGCACTGACCAGTGGGTCACAGTGTGAGTATGGAGATGGCTAGAAGTAAAGGTGTGAACGGGAAGTGAGACTGAAGCTCCAGCTGTCAGAAGAGGGATTCCAGGAGATGCAGTTGGGAGGGAAAGTGGGGCCTGTTGAAGAGTCTATTGCTATAGCACAATATTTAGTCTTCAATATTACAGTAACAGGCAACCACTAACGTTCCTTTAAAAACTCTTTTGAGATAATCTTATAGAAGAATTGCAAAGATATTATAGTTTCTTATTAGGCAGAAAGTAGTTCATGTTTTCATTAAAGAAATTTTTTAGGAACTGGAGAGATGGCTCAGCAGTTAAGAGCACTGACTACTTTTGCAGAGGAGTGCCTAATTTTCCTCTCCCATGAGTCCTTGCCACATAGACTGACACATTCTAACAATCTTGAAAGTGCTTGTGGTTTGTTCTTGCTACATGCCTTTGTATACACTGTTCCTTATACCGAGAACCTCATTTTCTTTCCCACGTGGCTAAAATACCCTCAACTGCAGGTCTTAGCTTACATTCCCCAAGAATCCCTCACTTTTATGCAGCATGGGTTTGTGAGTCTGTTTTTTTTTTTTTTTTTTTAATACCCTTCTTGGGTTGGTGAGATGGCCCAGCCAGTAAAGGCTCTTGCCACCAAGCCTGGAATCCTGAGTTTGAGCTCCAGGAGCCACAAGGTGGAAGGAGAACTAACTCCCTCAAGTTGTCCTCTGACCTCCACACATGTGCCATGGCACAAGCATGAAAATGTCTGCACACACACACACACACACACACACACACAAATAAATTTAATTATAAAAAGTTTTAAAAGCTCTAAAATATTATACCCTTCTCTCACTACCTAAAGAAATTGAGGTGACATAAAGCAGATTATATCTGCCAACAGGACGAAAGAGAGTGTGATAATAAATTCAAAGGGACAATAGAGGTAGAAATGTACATAACAACAGGTATGATGTTGGCTTAAAAAAAAGATGACTTCCATATTCTTTTTTTTTTTTTTCTTTTTTGGTCTTTTTGAGACAGGGTCTCCCTGTAGCCCCAGCTGTCCTGGAACTCACTATGCAGACCAAGCTGGACTTGAACTCACAGAGATCTGCCTGCCTTTGCCTCCCGAGTGCTGGCATTAAAGGCGTGAGCCACCACACCCGGCAACTTCCATATTCTTATATAACAAAGATATGATCTGAAAATTTGACTCTGAACTTCTTACAAAGTTCAAAAAGAAACTTGACCATGTATGAATTTCCACATGCTAGAAGTAAAGAATCATTGCCTATTACTGAAAAGCAAGGGTTGGTTTATCAAACTAAAGAATTACTTATAAAGAAGACTGCTAATCTCAGAAGCTCCTTTCCTTGGGCTTATAGTGACTCTTAATAGCAATTCCGTAATTACTATACATTTTCTGTACACTGATTTCCTCAGGGCATAGACCACTGCTCGATATCTCCTAGTGACTCACTGGTTAGCTGGTTGTTGAAAGTAATGAAGGCAAATGTTTTACACAGGTGGACAATTAGAAATGTGTCTACTTGGTCTAGTCACTTTTCTGTTGCTATGATAACACTCACCAAAAGCAGATTGGAGAAGAAACAGTTTATTCGACTTACATTTCCCAATCACAGTCCATCACTGAGGGACATTAGGGCAAGAACTCAAGCAGAAGGAGAGGCAGGAGCCATGGAGGAAAATGTTTATGGGGCCCTTGCTCCCAAGTTTCTGCTCATCTACCTTTCTGATGTAGCCCAGACCCACCTGTCCAGGGATGGTGCTGCCCACATTGAGCAGGGTCCTCTTATATCAAATAGCAATTAAGAAAATGCCCCATGGATATGGATGGCCACAGGCCAGTCTGTGATCTGGAAATTCTTCAGTTGAGGTTCCCTCATCTCAGGTGACTCTAGTTTGAGTCAAGTTACAAAACCAGCGCACTACATTTATACATAAACAGAAAAAAATGAGTCAGGCATTGTGGTGTATACTTTTAATCCAAGCACTCAGGAGGCAGAAGCAAGTAGATGTCTGTGAGTCTGAGGCCAGCCTCATGTACTTAGTGATTTCTAGGCCAGCCAGGGCTAAATATTGAAAAATACAAACCAAAACTAGAAAAATATGTAACAGACTGGAAGAGCATTTGCAATTATTATAATAACGATATGTGGAAAACCTACAATCTAGCAGCTATATCATGCTAAACAGTTTACAAATGTACTTTATATGACTTTCTGCTAATCTTGTGACTATTTCCCATCTCAAAACTGGGGAAATTGGGAGATTAAATAGGCTTTTCAGGGAGGTACAGGTAGACAGGCAGAACCTGGGCTAAGCATAGGTACTTGATCCCAGCTCTCAACCCTCTGATTTGATGAATAGTAAACTTGATTAAATTGATTAATAGTTCATTACAACAAAATCAGACTTTCAACTGATGGGGAGGCTTTGATGAGGGACTTCGCCACCATTTTCCAGTTCTGTAAATTCTATTCCATAATTTTTTTTGAAGGAAAAGACAACAGTTACCTTTTCTTTAAATCTCTCTTTTATTTTTATGTGTATAAATGTTTTGCCTACATGCATGTAAGTGCACCTATGCATGCAATGCCTGCAGAGGCCAGAAGAGGGTATTTGATTTCCCAGAACTGGAGTTAAGGATGGTTGTTAGTCATCTTGTGGGTGCTGGGAACTGAGCACAGATCCTCTACAAGAGCAGCCAATGCTATTAACCTCTGAACCATCTCTCCAGCCCGGCAGCAGCTCTCTTGGAAATCATATGCTGTGCTATAACATTTTTGTCTGTAAAGAAGTATCAGAGTACATCCTAATATAATCCTCTTCCATTTTTTAAAAATTGGGACATTTGACTGATTTTTCCAGTGTAGGTATATGATTTAACTTTGCTCATGAGGTCCAAGAGAACTTACCATTGATGAGAGGTTTTATTCTGTTTTAATATATGTAGTTAACTTTCCCTGACAAAGGGATGTTTGCTCTTACCTGAAAGTTGCCAAAGCAACTCCCTCCTGGGAGAGTCACATAGCTCACAAAGGGAGGCCCAGAAGAAGGGAGTGACTCATAGACCACCACACCTTCGCTGCTGGGGAATGCGGCCCTCTGCTGCTGCTTGCTTTCCCAAAATTCTTGTAACATTGACACAACATTCACTGAAAAAGACAGGAAATAATGCTAGTTATTAACGATGGACACACACTGGCAAAAAAAGCAAACATTTAAGGCTGGATTCTGCAGCATGGCAGACACAGTTTAAGCAGAACATGTGCATCACCAGGGCTGCTCCTGCTGTGAAAGAATACATTTTAGTTTAGCATATTTAAGCATATTTTAAAAATAGATAACCTTAACACACATGTACATTTCATTTTAAAAATTTAAATTACAGGCTGGAGAGATGGCTCAGCGGTAAAGAGCACTGACTGCTCTTGCAGAGGACCTGGGTTCAATTCCCAGCACCCACAGGGCAGCTATAGAACCATCCTTAACTCCAGTTCCAGGGGAATCTGAAGCCCTCTTCTGACCTCTGCAGCATTGTACAACATGGGTGTACTCACATACATGCAGGCAATACACTCATACACAAAAAATAAAAATAATAAAATTTAAAGAAATTTTAGTACATTTTAATTTCATGTGTGTGTATGGATGTGTGTACTATGACATGTGAGTGAAGGTCAAAGGACAACTTTGGGGAGTTGGTTCTCTCCTATTATGTGGATTCAGGAATCAAACTCAGGTTGTCAAACTTGGTGGCAGGAACTTTGCTTGCTGAGCCATCTTGCTGGCTCATGTGTATATTTCTTTCTTTTTGAAAAAATAGAATAAATATATTTTTAACTCAACAAGGCAGATTTTACTTTTACAAAAGGGTCCATGTATACATTTCCTAATGAGTAAAACCCAAGAGGTTTTAGTACCCCAATTCTAAGAAAGTTGCAGTATCAAATTTATTTAGAAATTATATTAATATCAAAATTTAAAATCTGACTATTCATCTCAAAATTTTGCTTTAATAGACTTTTCTAGAGCTGTGATTATCTGTAACCTGGTATCACATTTCTCATAGACCCAAACTTGCAAAGAAAAATCCACACCATGAAGTAAAGACTTAAGTCATGTAATAGACTCTGGACTCACCATCCATTCGATTTAAGAGGAGAAATCCAGAAAGAAGAAAACTCTTTTACATTCACTCCATCCCAACCTAAAGGGGAACCAAAGGCAATTGTGGAATAAGAAAGAGGCTGGAAAAATCCACCAGTGAAACTAGTAACATGGAGTCTTTGTAGAGACAAGGTCTGTTAGATGACTTTGGAAAACACAGGAATGGCTAGGGCCATCTGTTTTAGATTAAATGACCTGTGATAGCCTGCAGAGGTTCCAGATCAAATTAGGTTGGTTTGTTTATCCTGTACTGCAAATTGAATTGGGGGAATTAACAAGGATAATAGAATTTTAGAGTCAAAAATGACCTTATGAGTCATGTCAGCTAAGCTCTGCCTAATGCAGGAATTCCTTGCCAGCACAGCTGCCAGTCTGCTCTATACCTGTATTTGCCATATGTAAGACAACCAATTTCAAATGCTTATGTTTCTGTGGAAAGGTGAGCTGAAATCTGCTTTCCTGAAGGTTCATGCAAGGGGTCTACTTCGCATTTCGGGACAGCTTACAGCATATTTGAAAGCAGTATTGACATCTGTCAGTTTTATTTGTCTGGCCTTTGCTTGTTTTCCTATATGCATAGGACAAAGGGTTTCCTTGAAGTATCTATTGTTTTTATGTGTGGTGCTGAGGATTTTGCAAAAGCCAAGGCATGTAGAGGCAACGAATCCAAGATATTTTGTTGGAAGCTCCCTTTTTTCGTGTGGGTTTGGGTGTTGGAAGGATAGGAGGTAAGTGTGGCACTTCCCCATCAAGAAAGAAAGATGATTTGAGAAGAAAGTGGATGCAGATAGGGCAGCACAAGTGATGAAGGAAGAAAGACCACATTCTGAGGGGATAGAACCCTATATTCTGGCTTTGCACAAATCCAAGCCCCTTGATTGACTGTGAGTTATCTGGAACAATTTATCTGCCTTTCTTTTAAGCCATTTTGAACTGGTTTCTCTTGCTTGCCTCTGGAAGTATGTACATGCAGGGAATGTGGGACTAACTCACTGTCAGAGAGAATGCTTGCCTAGCAGGGGTGAGGTCCCAGGTTTGATCTCAGCATTGCAATATATTCCTGATGTTTCAAAATGCTGAGAGTATCCCAGAATTTGATCTGGTGGCAAAAACACTGCACAGCCACATTTATATTCTGTTTCCTAGACCACAAGGCTCTTTACCTTTTCCCTTGGTCACTGATCAGCTTTATGGTATGTCAGGAAAGTTCTGGAGACTCAATAGAATTGGATACTTTGTATCTTTAAAAGAACTTACTTTATCCTATATGTAGAGGTTTCATTGAAGAGGTGTCACTTAGGGTTAAGCATCTCAGAGACACAGTCTCTATGTTGACCAGTTCTGTAACTCTGTAATTATTTCCATCTGTTGCAAAAATAAGCTTCTTTGATGAGGGGTGAAAGGTACACTTGTCTGTAAATATGTGGGTGCATATTAAGAATAAAGTGAGAAATTACATTGGTTTAGGGTTGGGACAAAAGTAGGTTTTTCTCTAGGATCTATTTACAGTACCACACATGATTTGGCTATGAATTCTCCAGCCATGTGTATTTGGCTATATTTATAGTACCTCCCATTGAGAGAGCCTTAATTCCAATTAAAGATTTGTTGACTACCCCCCAGATAAAAGTGCTACTGCTGTACCAATATCGATACTTTGCTGGGTCAGTCATCATTGTTTATTTAGACTTTACAGCTGGGTAGGACCATTGATTGGTTTTCTCCTTTGGCAGCTTGTATAATATCCTCTGATATATGAGAGCTAGCCTTCAGGGAGGAGGATAAATGAATCTCTCAGTTCTCACCAGGGAAGTTTCCTTATGCAGCAGATGGAGATTAACAAAGAAACTCACAACTGGCCAATGTGCAAAGAACAAGAAGCCACAGAGTGCTTATCCCTGAATAGGGCACCTACTTCAAACCTCTGCTTCCAGAGGCTCAGGAATCATTGCCAAGGAGGAGGCAGAAAGGTTGTAAGAGCCGAAGGGTGTTGATGACCACAAGGAAAGAGAGTCTTCCAGACAGCTAGTCAGTTACTCACATGAACCCTTCACATGGTAACAACATACACAAGTCTTATGCAAGCTGAAACCAGACAAAATCCCGGCACAGAAATGGCAAAATGGGTAAGAAATCCCAGTCTAACCTAAGGACTTTTTGCAATTCATGGCTGCTGAGGGGGGAAAACAGTGTTTTAAGGGATAGAACTCTTGGTGGCCCAGTGGATGGACCCATAGTGAAGGATATTTGGGAACACAAATCAGACTCTATAGGCTGTATAATGTAATATAAGAAAGTACATTAAACTAGGCAGGGGGCAATAAAAGGATCTATGGATAGGGGATGGGATCTAAATACCATCAAACTACTTGTATGAAAATCGCAAAAATTAAAAAAAATGATTGGTATAAAACATTGAGCCAAAAAAGTCCCTAATTTAGTATTTAAGGATTCTGGGAAACATTGAGAAATTATAAGGTTATCACAAGAGATAATTGAAGTAATAAAATATGAAATGGACCAAGATGAGAATTGGGTATTACAGAGCTTTTAATTCATTTAGAAATTTAAAGTAATATTTTATACCAGTTGAGCTAACTCAAAGTAGAAATTGGACATTTTATGTGCTTAATTGTTTCTATCCCACACCTTATTTTTCTTTACAGTTCTGAGAAAATAAAGATTTATGAAGTGTCCAGTTTATGTCTATACCCTCAGAATTCAGCAGAGATTTTCTGAATCCTGAAGGCTGAATGAAAGTCCGTGGCCTTTGCTCTGCTAGTCAACAAGGACCATTAACTTCAGTGAGATTCAGCTGTAAACTCAAGTAGGAAACTGAGGACTCATGATTATCTAGGTAAAATATATTTGATAATTTTGTTTTCCACAAAAAATACTATTTGAGCTGAAGAGTTTAAAAGTATGCATTAATCTTGGACGTCTGCATGAATAAAAGGAACAGCTTTCCAATTTTTCATTATGCAACCTTGCAAGATTTCTTTGATGGTACTGCAGATGTCATCACCCCTAAAAAGTGCAACATATGTACATGCACAGACAATCCATCTTCCTATCTGTGTCTTTTCTTGCGACTGGAAATAAGGATGAATGGAGTGCAGAAGGAAGAAGGCCAGCTTTGCTGTCTGGAATTCTAAAGATCAGTAATATGAGAGGATGCTCTATTTATAAAACACATGCTCCTTTTTTTAAGGAAACATCAGCAAGGTTTATGGACAATTTCAAACAAAATGTGAGAAGACAGTCAGGATTCATTGCATAGTTTAGTCTCTAGATGCCTCAGCCAAAGAGCCTGTCTTCCTCACTGAAGAATAAACTTGAGTTACCAAGTGTGTGATACTCATCTGTACACATAGGGACTCATCTGTGCAAGAGCCCAGCTCTCTAATAGTTCATACTGCTTCTCCTGGGTATTGTTTATTATTCATATCCTTGACCTATTTTTAAGTGTTTCCTCTTTGCTTACTCCTTCCTAGCAGCCATAACTATGCTCAAGACAATGAAAGAATAGTAAGAGAATTAATCAATTAAGTGAACCCTCAACCTTGGAACTATTTTTGGCTACCGGTTATTAAATTTTATCGATATAGTAAGGCTGCTAGAGAGAATATTTGGCCCTGACAGTTTCCGTCTCTGTATGTTCCTTTCTTTTCCACTCACCGTCATCTGGCTTTCTTCTATGCCCCTCCACTGAAATGCTTTCACAAATTTTGCCAAACGTTTTAGTCCTCATCTACTTGTCTTCTTAGCTGCAGTTGATACAGCTATTGATTTCTTCTAGAAACTCTCATCTTCTGGGTTTTAGGGGTGCGATTCCTCCCTGATTATAGTTCTCTTTTTCTAAGAATTTGCCTAGATCCTTTTGTGGGCTGCTCTCCTCTGCTCACTGCTCATATTGCTTTTCATATCTTTTCTTGTTTCCTCTTTTTGCTCTTCTCCTTGAATGACAGAACTTATTTCCATGACACCAAGTACACAAAGAAACACAGCACCTAAACCATTCTCTAAACACATTCCTAACTCTGCTCATTTTCTTTTCCATAAACTTTTCCTCCTGAATTATTATTCTTTTTTCTGAATTACTTGGAAAATGATGTAATCATCACCATAGTCACCTAAAGAACAAACTTGGCTGGATCCTTATCAATATCTAATAAATGGCCGCATTTTGTCAGTTCTTTGTCTTTGATATCTCCCATGGGTATCAGTGTCTCTTGGGCCATACTGTCATTGCCACATCGACTCGCACTCATGTCTCACCAAGTACGTTACAATACCCTCCTGATGCTGTCTTTTCCCACCCAACTCATCCTCCTGTCATTTCCAGGATAATTTCCAGATCTCATAACTGATCAAATCTTCCACATTGTAAAATATCTGCGTGGTTCCCCCACTATCTATGGAGTAAGTAATGAGTTGTCAAGTCATAGAAAGCTGTATGTTTTGTATTTCTAATTCTCTGCTCCTCTTCTTAAGGCCACCTGCCAGGTTCCTTATACCCTATGCTTGCTGTAGTCCTGCTAGGCCCTATACTTCCTTTCATCTTCCAGAACTGTCCTTTGTTCCATAGTCTAAAGGCTAGGATGGCAGCTACTTGTTTTTAAAGATTCATCTCCAGTGTCAGTTCCTCAAAAATAAAACCTGAAACAAAACAGTATCTAAGTCCTTGTCAATGAAAGTGCAGTCCCCTAAGGAAGGTTATGGATATCACGTGAGGACTTGTTAGAAATCCAGGCCCAACACCCCATCCATTTACTGAACCCAATTTTCATTTAAAAAAAGATTCTCTAGCAAATGGATGAGATGAAAGCTTGAGAAGCCCTGCTGTAGGAAGAGCTGGCTACTCCTGTGTCTCATACATATCATCATATGCCTGGCGTTATGCATTTTCTTATTCAACCCTTACAACTCCCTCTTGAAATAGATACTATTATCCACAACATAAAGATGATAAGCAAAAAGGCTCAAGAGATAGTCATAGCTACAAGCTTGTGGGCCTATGATCTTCAATGTGGTTTTGTC